CATATCCGACGAAGAATGATTTTTAAAATTTTATTTTATATATAAATTTTAATAATTATTTAATTTAATTTAATATTTTAATATAATTTAATATATTTAAATATTTTATTTAATATAATTTTATTTGTTATTTGATAAATAACTGTTTTAAAATTTTGTTTATTATTTAAATTTTAATAATTATTTAATTTAATTTAATATTTTAATATAATTTAATGTATTTGAATATATTAAATATTTTATTTAATATAATTTATTTTTTTGTTATTATTTTTATTTTTAATTATTTTATTTTTTATTTTTAATATAATTATTATTATAACATAAATCATATTTTAATAATTATTAAAATATAAAATTATATTAAATAATATTTGAATTTTAAATTTAGTTATTATTAAGGTAATATAGAGTATTTTTAACAAGAAAAAGAAGAAAATAAAAATATATTTATTAAAATTAAAAATAAAATTTTTTATAAAGTTAAAAGTATAGGACAATAATAATATGTCAAAAGATTAAAAGTGTAATTTTTAGAGGTGTGATCTTGGAGGTATAGAATGAAACAGCCAATAAACAATTGGGCCACTGAATAAAGAAAAGCTGGGCTGATTAGCCTTTAGTGAAACGGGGCGCACAAGCAGCAGCTGCCTTAGGGGTCTCCTCGTTTTCATTTGAAGAAAGAACCCATGTGCTGGCGTTGAGGCAGAAAGAGGAACCCTCGAGCTAGGGCAAAGGGAGACAAGAGATGAAGAGAGGAGCGATCCTGCCCGGAGAAGAAGACCTGACCGGATCTGACCGGCGATGCCACGTGGAGAAGCTTCTCGAGCAAGTTTCCATAGTTTTTCCTTTTCTCTATTTCTGTGACCCTATATATAAAGGGGTTTGCTACCATGTAAATGGGACTTTTACACTTTACATTTTTACAGTTTTAGATATAGTTAGGTTTCTAGTTTCCTTGCTTTTGGAGTAAACACTCACGGTGTAGCTCCGATTCCGATTGCGCGTCGGTAAATTCTTTTGTAATTTTCGTTTTTTCTTAATAAAGTTTCTTTACATTGATGTGTTACTGTTTTGTGTGCTTTATGATTTTGAGTTCTATATTCTTTGCTTCCGTCAATTGTTTTAGTTTGAAATTGTAAATCATATTTTTGTTATGTCAGTTTATTTTAATTAGGATTTTGTATGTTTTAGAGTAGATTGTAGGTTTTAATTGCGTTTATCATATCTGATATTGATTAAAACATTAATTAGTTTTGGATTCACTGTGGTTTGGATGAACTGAAATGAACTTTAAGACCTGTGATGAGCTTTAAATGTTCATTTTTCTTGTATCATTAATTCATAGTATTTATATGTTAGAGTAGCTACTGATTTGATTTGTATGCTTAGTTAGACTCAATATTTTCATTACTGTAGGTTTTATTTCTTTAATTTATCTATATAAATAATAGAATAACTAGTAATTTTTGTAGTTGAAACACAATTATGGAGTGTGAAGGAATTGTGCAAGAAAAGAATGATGCAGAAGGAATTGTGGGGAAGAATGATGCCGAAGCTATATTGCAAGAGAAGGAGGATGCCGAAGCTATATTGAAAGCAGGAGATGTTTGTGTATTTGAACTTATTAGCAAGAAGGATGGTATTTTTAAAGCTCATATTTTCTAAAAGGATCACTAATTTGTCTGCATGAAAGCTGTGGTCTTGCTGAGGAATTTGAAAGAAAATGTTGTAAAGAAACAAAGATATTGTAATGGGGTGTTCCCAAGTATTAGACATTTAGACATTTAAACAGTGTTACTGTTATGTAATCAACCAGTTATGTTTATTGAAATATAGTACTGCATTAGGTGATTTATGAGTTACTGTTATGTAATCCAAAGATTCTACGTAAAATAAGTTGTTTCACTCACTGTAATTTTCTTTTTATTAAAGGGAAAAAGTTACTGCTATTATATATCTACCATTATAAAGGAAAAATGAATAAATAAAACTAAGAGGAATAAGTTAACATTCAGCTGCTTCAAAAGCAGTAATGAAGGAGAATCAAAAAGAACATTCTTAAAAGTAAATATAAATTAATTTTGATTTTTCAAAAATCTATATAAATTAATCACTATATTGTTTTTTATTAAAACTATTTTTGTTTTATTAAATCATAAATGTGGTATAAAATTTTTAAATTATATTTTTTTCTTGAATATTCGTATAAAAATGCTTAAAGTGAAGAATAATATTTTATTAATATTATGAAATTAGAAAACAATAAATATCTACACTCTTGAATTAATCAAATAAGACTATTAAAGAAGGGAATAATGTGACGTCATCCAATTTCCGTCTTAATTAACATACATATTATTATTATTTTATTCTCCCTTTATCTTTTTGATTTCAATTCTTATATGTAATAATCTATTTATTTTACTTTATTATATTTTCTTTTAAAATTTCTTCTGATTTTTTCTTGTAATAAGTGGTTATTACACTCAAATTTGTGTTGATTGTCACACCACACCGACAGCCTTTTGTACAATATAAATTTGATGAACCTGATTTTAATGCTAGATCTAAAGAATAAAAAACCTTTATTTCCCATTCACAAAACTTAACAAGAATACCATGATCACATTTTTGTGGTGTACAAGAATGAAAGTGAATCGACTCAATACCAATGATCACATTTGTAGTGCTTATGTGGTTATATACTCAATTGCTTATGAACAAGAATAGTTGTGGTTTTTTATGATGTAGATTTTATCATTTTTTTGTGGCAGTAAGTGGTTTCTACTAGTCCAAGTGGTATTATTCATAACGTGTTTTTACAACAACAAAAGTGGGTTTAATTCAATCCCAATGAACCACATCTTTTTGGTGTCAGTAAGTGGTTAGCTCCTAGTCCTATGTGGTTTATTTCATACACGGTGTTTGTACAATAATAAAAGTGGTTGGCACATAATAAAATCCAAGCTCAATACCACATGATCTCTGGTGCATAAGTGTTACCCTACTAATCTTAAGTGGTTATTTCAGAACAGTGTTTTGTACAACGAAAAAATTGTGTTATTATTCAATCCCAATGACCTACATTTTTTTTGGTGCAGTGAGTAGTTATGTACTAAGTCTAAGTGGTTGGTTATTTCAGAGGGTTTTCTTGTACAACAATTAATGTTGTTTAATTCAATCCCAATGACCAAATGGTTTTCGGTGCAGTAAGTGGCTTACTACTAAGTCCAAGTGGTTATAGTTCGAAAACGATGTTTTGCTACACCATAAAAGTGGTTTATTCAATTCAACCCAATGACAACATTTCTTTGGTGCAGTATGTTATCTACTAGGTCATATGTGGTTTATTCGAAAGGTGATTTGTACAATACAATAAAAAAAAGTGATTCAATTCAATAGTAATCTTATTTTTTCAATTATACATTCATAGTAATCTTATTATTCTTACCGTCCAATGTAACCTCTTATATGTTTTGACTTTTGTAGTTTTCCCAAATGTCATTTTTAAATAGCAAAAAATTGATAAAAATTGTTGTTTTTGGTTTCACTGAAACGAACCAAATATACACATTACAATTTAATATTGTTGCAATGAGCAAAATGATATATCCTCCTTAATTTTAAGACCCACCTCACAAAAACCGCATGAAAAGATTGGGGAAATAGATGCAACAATTTTAATAGAAAGAATGATGGTTTATAGTGTTTCTTTAATTTTACAGATCAAAATTCTCCACATCTAATCTAAAAGAAGTACTTTCAAGTATAGAAGTGTTTTAAAACATTGAATCAGACAATGTGTTCCAAGGACATAAAAATTTTTGGTTATTGGGTTTAAAACACGAGGATGTATAACATTGAGTAGCCATTTGCCCAGCTAAGAAGCAAGACATACTAACAAATTGATCGTGAATACCCAGCTATGATCACAACACAAGTTCAGTATAATCAAAAAAACTAAATTAAGGATTCCCCAATTTCATCGACTGCTAGAATTTCAAGAACGAATCAAGACGACACTAGGTAGAGTTTAAGCTCGTCCCCATCTTTCCTAAAAAACCTTGAAGTATCATCTTGTATGTAAGCTATATCAGTATGTAAAATTTTTCTCCGCATTTTCAAGCCACAACAGCCCAAGCCCGCAATGAAATAACCCTTTTTTGACAAAAGAACTCATGATTGAGATTATCAACAATATTCACTGGACTCACACCTGCATCATGAAAATCTCAAACAATTTGCAAGCCAAGCTCAACTTTCCCTTTGCCAAAAATTAGACAAACAAAAGTATTCACCATATCAACATAAAAAAAGTCTGGGAAGAAATAGCCTAGAGCACATTTGGAATTCTCTTTCTTTTGACTCCTGCAGCTCTTTTTGGAATTCTGTTTCTGTGAATTCCAGCCAAGTGTTCCCAATGAAAATGGAACACACAGATCTAAGGGGAGACAACACTAAGAAGTGGATCCTCAGGGAAATACAATGATTCAAAGGAGGAAGATGAGGATGAGGAATGAGTCCTACGAGATGAAACAATTAAATGAAAATGCAAAATTGTTTTATATAGATGATAGACAAGATTTGTTGTCTGATTAGAAAAGAAAAAAGTAATTATATATTAATTGAGGTTGGAGGAAAAATGTGGTTTGTGGGATGAGAAGGAAAAAGAAGAATGATACTTATAACCCCAATTGCCAATAAATGATGATGCACATCACAAAATCCAGAAAAATCAAGTAAGCACATACTAAAAAACAAAATTTTCCACCCTTCAATCTTTAGAAGGCAAGGTAAATATGCTATTCTGCAATATTCCAATATCAAGTAAACAAAGCCAATAAAAAAAGCCTTGCCAAAGCCAGATGGCAGAAGACACATAGAAACATGGCTACTACTTACCTCTTGAATCTCACATCCATGGAAGATAAGGTCCCTAATGGTCATAAATTTTGTTAGTTTTCGTAGCCATTTTCAAATTTCAAACAAAACAACCATCTCCTAACATTGATTATAGCTTCAAAAAATTCCAAGCAACTACGTCCCTCTAGCTTAGCCAATCAATCATGCTTAAAAATTTCAAAAGGACTAAATTTAAAATTGCCAATAATCAATTATTGGACCTAGGAAAAAAACCTTGTGAACTCGACAACACTAGCAATGGTGAAAAATTAAGTAAAATTGCATCACTGCAATTGGAAAACGATAGAGTCATACACATGTAATCACACAAAAAAACTTTCTAATATCATAACTAACTAGCTTGCTAGACTGACAAGATTAGAAATATTTTATAGACCCCTCCCAGTTGAATAAAAATAGATAAAATTTAGTAAGTTTAGAATGATTCATGTAAATTCACAAGGCGTAGCATCGATGGAGGGAAGAAAGTGGAAAAGATGGGGTTGATATATAAAGGCATGTTTTAAATAGGGAGGTTAGCATAAAGAGTGGTTAGAAAGCAATCACATGGATGGATGGGCAAAAATGAGGAAGTCACAATTGTCTCCTTCACTCTCATTTTATTCACTTCCATTTCTAAAACCTCAACAGATTTTCGCTTTCAACATTCTCTCAATAAGTCACAATTGTTTCTCCTCCAATTCCTTCTGCTACTCTAAAACAACATCATCGAGTACAATTTTTCATCCACTTCATATTCACACCACACTGAAGTGCTGAACCATTATCAGAATATCAACGAGCTTCAAATTTTTATTCTATATTTAACTACAAAACTTGTTTATTTTGCCACCTCTGTATATTACGAGCACATATTACGACCCAATGTATATCACCACAATGTGATATTCCAGAGCATATTGTTTTTGGTTACATTCCAAAAAAATCAACACAATGTTATTTCTTTCCTAACCCAAATCAACCTTAAGCCCATAAAACCCACCCAAAACTCATTAATACCATTATTGTCTTTGGTTCCCACATCGAAAATGATAAAGTATTTGGACTGAAAATAATCTTGCAGAAATGAGTTTACTCCACAATCACTAGTACAGTAAGAGGAAACGACAACGATTATTTTTGGCTATAGGCAGCGGTTCCCCAACCGAGGCATATGAAGGCGAGGCAAAAAGTCAACTACTTTTTGTCTCGGGTTCGAACCGAGGCATAAAAGGAGAGGATTTGGCCTCGGTTCAGTCTCAACCGAAGAAGTAAAGTTTTTGATTTTTTAAAATTTTGTTTCGTAGGACTTTATGCCTCAGTTTACAGGGAACCGAGGCAGTATGTCCCACTCTACTGCCTCGGTTGTAGCCAGAACTGAGGTAGT